TATCTCAATAAATCTATTCCCATTTTTTGATAACTATGGGGAAGGCTATTAGTTTTGGTGAGTGTGGGGGAGGGCAATAGGAAGAAGATATCCACATAGAGTATTTTAATCCCCCCTCCCCCAGGAAAAACCTGAATATTCCTTATGCTGGATTAAGATCATGGTTTAATGGCCTTTTGACATGGAGGTAACTGTATTTTCAATGTACGTGTGTATACTTTTGTTAAGGGTAGAGAACAGCTTTCTAGAGAGGGAAGAACTACCGGGCTAGGAGGTGAGCCGGTGTTTGGTACCACCTTTTCCCTGGAGCACTTGCTGATTCTAGAAGGGGGCTGAGAGCCTAGAAGGCTGGATGGTATTTTTGATAGCTTTGCAGAGTTGGAAGCAGGAATTATCATAGAGGGTCTATCAAGTGGGGGGCCCTGAGGACCCCCTGCCCCATCCATGTTATGTTGGGACTCTTAAGGGCTTCATCATAGGAACAATGGTAAACCTGAAGTAATCAGGTCCTCACAGGGACTTCAGTTCAGACTGTAATATCTCAATTTATGAATTCAGAGTGAGGTGATCACGAATGGGTGGTGCACCCAGGGGCCTGGCAGAAGCAAATGGAAATAAGTTTTGGAAAATATGATATCATCCTAGGCTTAAATTTATTGTTATACTAAACTTTGCAAACATTATGTCTGAAACCTGGTAAAGATTAACCAGACATTACATGACAACATGAAAACAGACAGGAGAAGAAAAAAATAGAATAGGCGCATAGGGGCTTCATACTGAAATCATCAAAATAAACTTTAAAAGAACTATAATTTTTATGTTGAAGAATTTATAAGCTAAGAATTAGAACATTGTAGAAAACTAGAAATTATAAAATAAGACCTAAATGGGTATTCTGGAAATGAAAAATATAATAAGAGAAATTGAGAACTTAAAGGATGGGTTTAATGGTAGATTTATCAGAGCTGAGGAAAGAATTATGAATTAGAAGATAGGTCAATATCAAAATGAAGCACAGAGAGACAAAAGGAAAATACAAAAGGGAAAATACAAAAGAGAGAATAAGGCACACAGGGGATATAATGAGAAAACCTAGCATGCGGCCAATTGGAGTTCAAGGGAGAGAAATGAGAGAAAATGAGAACAGAGACAGTACTCGATGTTATAATAACTGCGAACTTTCTAAAATTGACAAAGAACATCAAAGAATAAGGAGAGAAGCCCTCGGAACACTAAGCAGGCTAAATAAAAATAAATGTGCACTTTGGTACATAATAGTTAATCTGTAGAAAACCAAAGAAAATAACCTTTAAAATATACCAAGATTTACCTTCAAAGAACCAGCAACAAGACCGAAAGCTGATTTCTAAATAGTAACAATCTTCACAGAAGACAATGGAATGTTTTCAATGAGCAGAAACAAAATAACAGCCAACTTAGAATTTTACACTTAGTGAATGTTCCCTTCAAGAATGAAAATAAAAATATTTTCAGACAAATGAAAGCTGAAAGAATTCTTTAGAACAGATATTGCATTAAATAAATATGAATTAAAGAGTGTTCTTCAGGCAGTAGCAAAATGACCCTACAGATAAAGGAAGAAATGAAGAATAATGAAAATGGAAAATCATGCGACACATGTGAATAAATATCTACTCTGTACGAAAACACTGATAATGTCTACATGAGCTTAAGATACATATAGAAAAATAGTCCTATATAAGTTGGGAAGAGAATAAATGGAGTTAAATGCTTTAATGTTTTGATTAGTGAAGATTGCAAGTGGAAGCTCAAGGCTAAATACTAAAGCAATAGTAACAGAACAAATAACTTTCAAGAAAATAGAAAGGGAAATGGGATTATAAAAATAATCTAGTAAGGAAGGGTGGTCTTTTCATAAATGGACTTGGTCAAATGGCTGTTCATGTATGTGTGTGTGTGTACACATATATACGTATATGTATATATACATATACATATACATATACATATATATGTATATGTGTTTATATATGAAACTAAACTTCTATGTAAATATCAAGTCCAAGCAGATTGTACTTTAAAATGAAAAGAGAAACAATATGCTTCTAGAAGATAATTTAGGAAAATGACTTCATGACCTCAGGGTAGGTAAAAACTTTAAACAGAAAAAAATACGAAAAAAAAAAGGACAACATTTGACTACATTTAAATTAGAAATGTATTTCATTCAAAGACATCATGAAGAGATTAAGAAGGCCACATAATGGAAAAAGATATTCATAAGATATATAACCAAAGAAGGTTTATATCTAGATTTAAAGAGTTCTTACAATGAATATGAAGAAGAAATTATCCAATAGAAAAATAGACAAGGGACTTGAACAAACATTGTACAAAAGAGGATATACAAATGCCAATAAGTAAATGAAAAGCCACTTGACACAAAATAGTCATGGGGATGTTAAGTACAGCATAAGGAATATGGTCAATAATAATTATAATAACTATGTATGGTGCCAGGTGGGTACTAGATTTACTGGGAGGGATCACTCTGTAAATTAAATAAGTGTCTAACCACTATGCTGTACACCTGAAACTAATATAAAATAATATTGAATGTCAATTATAATTGAAAAAATTAAAAGGTTTAAATAAAAAGAAAATAAATCAGTCAAAGCAAAACAAATAAACCAAAAAAAAAAGAAAAAGGCACTTGAAGACATTAGTCATCAGAACCACAAGGAAATGTCACCATATTAGCTAAAATTAAAATTACAGATGATACCAATTATTGGTGATTTGGAGTGATAAAAACTCTCATAGGCACAGGGTTGGTGAGAGTATAAATTGGTGCAGCCACTTTGGAAAACCATTTGGCATTATCTCCTAAACTTTAAGATAAGTTTGCAGTAGATATTTCATTCCCAGGTTTATACCTGACAGAAATGTGTGAGCTTGTACACCAAGAGACACTTGTATATAAGAATATTCATGGCAGAATTATATGTAATAGTCCCAAACTGTAAAGAACTCAAAATGTCCATCAACAGTAGAATGAATAAATAATTGGCATGTTCAGACAATAGGATGTGATACATTAATTTGAAAAAAGAATAAACTACCACCAAATGGAATGTACCACCAAACATTGTATTGGTGAAGGAAGCCAGATACAAAAAGGAAATATTCTATATGATTCCATTTATATAATGTTTAAAAACCAGGCAAAACTAAAATATAGACTTAGGTGATACAACTATAAAGAAAAATAAGAAAAGAATTGCCATAATGGGATATTGGTTACTATCGGCAGGGGCAGAACCTGTTGTTATTGGGAGGAAGCATATGCAGGGTGTTTTTGCAGTGCAGGAAATGTTTTATTTTTCTACCCTCATGTGGTTACGTGGGGGATCTCTGTAATAAATGCTTAAGCTGTACTTTTCACTTCTTGCATGTTTTTGTATGTGTGTTATAATTCACAGTTAAAAACAAGGTAATGGGGCAAATGAAGGAAAAAAGTGACCTACTATCATGCTAACAGCAGAGAAGATACTGGTCCTAAATTTTCAACTGAGACTTTCTATGGTAGATCCAATCCCTGTTTATAGCCCTGTTACTGCACTGGGCCGTGGTGATAAAATATCAAAACGAGAAAATGGAAATTTATGTTCTACTTTTTGATGCTCATTCGACTTTGGCCAATTTCCAATTCCATGAAGATTTGAGGGTTTTATAGGCATTCATTGTTACGGGTCAGCTAAAAACCTGAGGTGAGGGAAGATCTTGAAAAACATACACTTTGTGGGAGAGCCGAGCTTTATATATTTTCAGAACAGGGTGAGGACTGCTATTGTTTGTGGCCACCCCAAATGAAAGGAAATCAAAGTAGACATTTTCAAATGACATTCTCTGAAATATTCATTATGTGAGTCCTCAGAGATACTTACAAAAACTCTTTTAAGTTATTGCAACCACAATAAAAGGTGAGTTTCTTTACTTTGTGTCAATATATCACAAAATAAAGCCTACTTTCTAGTGTCAAACTTTGAAGTACTGCATTTAAAAAGATTTAAGTGCTGATAATTGTAATGAAAAGAAAGTCTTTACAAGAATTGCTAGAGTTCCTGAGGGTTATAGCTGGGTAATGAGGACTGGTTATCCTATTGGAGTGGCATCAAGTAAGTGGTTTTGGCATATGAGAACACTCTGGCCATCAAATTGCTACCGCAGATCCAAACTAAATATATTTAACTTAAAATTGATAATGGCAGGTTGGTTCTGTGGACTCTTTATTATTGGTCACCCCAGACCTTATAAATGCAAATTTTAAGTGCAGCTTTAATACAGTACATATTTGTTGAGCACCCACCACGTGGACTTGAATATATCAGTGCTGGAGAACTCAGCCTCTATGGACATAACCTAATGAGGAATGTAACACAACTGTGACCATGGATGAAGGTTTCCCTTGTGCTCTGCTCAGCCCTTCCCATTCTCTGCTCTAATCCTCAGAATGACCTTGAAAGATGGCCATTGTGATTACCTTGTTAGAGAAAAGGAAGCTGAGGCTCAGAGGGGTTGAGTTACAGCTCCAAGACCACAGAACTAAGTAACAATGACCATGGAAGAGCAAAATACAGTTTTACTCCACAACCCCCAGGTGTATGTTACAAATACCTGGGTTTTTTTTGGCTTGTACAACTCTAAGCTGCACAGTTGCTTTGAAAGACTCAGTCTACTTGTGTATAAATAAGGATATGATGTTTGCCCTTCTAAATGGAAGTAAAGGGTAAATCTGCACTACTACAAAATGGGGGAATGATTTGTCCACAACTTGCGCAGAAAATACGTGCTTCCCAGGCCAGAGTCAAATAGTGAATTCTGTTTACAGATGAGGCCAAAACAGCCTCCTAGTGGCATTTTTCTTTGAAATGCAGGTTGGTACAGGGGAACTTCAGGGAAAAATGAGATGGGTGTGGGAACTCTGCAGGTGTGGCCAAGAGGCAAGCTCCTACCTTCTGATTGATTTTCATTGTCTCTTCTGTGTGGTAGAGAAGGAGCTTTTCGCTGGAAGAAGTCAGGTTAACGTACACCTGGAGGCAGGGGTACTGAGAGAGTTTCCAGCAGTCTGGACCACAGCTGAAGGAGCAATTAAATGTTTCCGTGATGGACGCATTCAGCAAGGTGCATTGAGACTCTTCGGTCCACACGCTACAGAGAGAGGGGGAGAGTAAACACAGGTCCAAAGAGCTAACAGCAAGGAAGGCATAATCAGAAGGGATCATGTGTTAGCCCCTTAGCCTGAAGAATCTTTTTCAAATCTATAATACTACCTATTTGTTAAAGTTTATGCCTTTGAATAGAGCAACTTCAGGGAAACTACAATATAAACAACAAACTTGGCCTGGCACCTGGGAACTTTTCAATGACTTCTATTGGTTATAGTATATTTTCCAATGCTTGATTTAAGTTACTCTTTTTTTTCCTATCTCAATTGCACTGAAAAGCACAACACATCTGTTTACATCACAACCTGCACTGTGTTTCTACCTTGTAAGCAGCTTCCTGCCACGCCCCAGTCCTCACCTCTGCAATGTCTGCCCAGTTTGTTGACGGAGAGGGTGTAAGGGAGAAGGAGTGTGAAGATGACGAGGGGGAGAGGGGCTTGTGGCCCAACTTGACAGACAGGACAGGGATGTTCTGCTTGAAGGTCTTTCTCATAAGGGAGGAGAGATAGCTCAACCCTTGATTATACCAAGAACAGCCACTTGTTGCATCCCTCTTCACTCTGATTAGTGCTGTATATACCTTATCTTCTTTGATCCTCCCAATAACCTTATTAGTTGAGTATTAATTCCTTTTAAAGTTGAGTGAACTGAGGGTCCTAGAAATCAAGTAACATAAAAGGACACACAGCTAGTAAGGGATGGAAATTTTTACTCCACCCAGTCTTGGATTTCTCCAAGGCCCAGGCACGTTCCATGGTTCCATGCACTGCCTCCTATGTGGAGAACGGGACATTCTCTGCAGATTAATGGGTACGTGTCAGTTTCCTGGGACCTCTCAATTAGAAAGATTAAGGAAAAAAAAAATCCAGCTGCCCATTGGCCAGCTATCCATTCTAAAATATTTATGATTTTATCATCAAGGGTAACATTTGTGATTAGGAAGTAACACATCAGCTATCAATGTTTTGCTTCTGAGTATAAGCTGATTATCAGAGTGAACAGAAAACAGCGTGTTTTCTTTGCTGATTAACACCCCTTCCTTTTGCTGGATATGTATTGACAAGGCCCCTCCTTTTCACGTCCAGTTTTATGCCAGAGGCAGGATATCAGCCCTGACCCCCTTTGGTGTGGCAAATTGTAGTTTCCTGGGACATGGGTGGTCAGGTTTTGCTTATTCAAGGAGGAAAAAAAAGTCTTGGATAGTTCTAAGCAGATGTGAGGATCTGAAAGTGGTTTTGGAATCAGTGAACACTCGGGGCCTGAGGCATCAGCGCTTTCACTGAGAAGGAGCCCAGTGGAAGGCATCCAAGAAACAGAGCAGAGCAGCCACAAATGGGAAAGATGATGCCTTATTTTAGTAAATTATTGTGTTTCAGCTAGAGTTTGCTTCAGAAGTGAAAGTATTAATTTAGGTAGAGAACTGAATGCCACAAAATGGTTTGATTTGTTTTTGGATTGAAAACTCAATTTTTCATTTGAAAGGCTCTTGTCTCTTTAAGATCAACCACTGTGAGACTTTCCCCGTTAGTTATAGCAGTGCTGGGCTCTCCTGTGCTCAAAGTGTTCATTTTATAGGCAGTTAGCTAGAGATGCTGTTGCTTACTCAGGGGGGAATACACTTGCTCTCTCAGTATTTAATCGCTTCCCTATCTAGTCAGTAAACCAAGGGCAAATATTAAAATGAAAAGGGTTCAAAAATCTATAAATGTTTTCAAGTTGGTGCATAGCAGTGTTTCTCAGTCTTGACAACATATTAGATTCACCTGGGGAAATTTAAAAGATACTGGTTACAGGTCCCGCTCCAGATCAATTAAACCTGACCTCTGGGGTGATGGTGGTGGCGCCTAGGCACCAGTATTTTAAAAAGTTTATTGGGAAGTTTAAACATGCAGTTGAGAACCACGGATGCATGGGGTGATGGAGGAGTGGGGTGGGGAGGGAAAGGAATGAGGATGGAGAACGAACAGACGTGTGAAGAGGCAACATCAGGGACTCTGGAATTAGCGGGATGCGGGTTTGAATCTTGGCTCTGCCATATGCTAGAGCTGTGTGACACTGCGCAGGTTATTTCTTTCTTTCGCCTCAGTTTTGCCATTTTCATAGTGAGTCTATTCCTACTTACCTTATAGGATAGTTTGAGAACTGAACAAGTAATGTAGGGAAAGTTTCTAGCACATTGTAGGCAGTTTATACATAAGAGTTAATTTTATCATTATTAGATAACATTATTGAAAAATATGATGTGCCAGGTACTGGGCAAAGTTATTAGGAAAGAAGGTGAGGAAGAGGACCTGAGGCTGATAAGCTGTGGGAGGGGGAGACAGAAGACAGCGTTCCAGCCACCCAATGGCATTACCTTTGCATGTAAGAGCGCAGCAGTGTGATTCCCAGCAGAAAGTACATCATGATGGAGCACACCATCATGGCCAGTCCCAGGAGAATGGCCCGGTCCTCTCCTGCTTTCAGGGCGGTGACAGTTTTCCTTTTGTCCAGGAGGTCATGGTCCCTGATTTTTTGGTAAATATTTCTAAGGTTGAAAATAATAAAGTCTTATGTGAGGTTTGCAGTTCATCAGCACGCCCCTAGAGAGTGGGTAAGTCTCCGCCCATGCTTTCCTAGGGCTTGGAGGCTGAGAGGACCCCCCTCCAAACCTGCCTGAGTGCAGGTAGGTCCCAGCATATGCTCAGTTCGTCCTGACAAACACACACACACACCCAGCCCTGAGCAGACACAAGCCATCAAAACCCTCCTCTTCTCTCATAGAACAACTTCATTATTTGATCATTTGCTGACAAAATGAAGACTGTTTGATTTAAAAAAAAATCAATCTCAGGAGCATACTCAAAACAATAAAAATTACCTTAACTGTTTTTAAAATATAAATTATTATAATTTATAAAAAGAATTCTTTGTTCAAAAAAAAAGAAACAAGAAACAAGCCTTCCTTCTTTACATGGGGCCTATACCTAACTGTAAATACTTTTTCTTTCTCTTTAAGTCTAAAGAAAGAAAACAATCCCTTCAACCCTTAAAATAAAGCTTTGAGTGTGTTGCTTTTGCCATTTAACTCCCAGCTGGTCATCACTGATCTTTTGATGTTCTCTGAATACATAATGGATCATTAATTCAAATAAATGGCAGCATACATTGGGAATCTGTCAACTTAATACCTTATTTCCCCTCAGTAGTAATAGACAAGTTATTTTGCTTAATGTTTTCCTCAAGCTTAGGGTTGCTGAGGGCTCTCTTGACTTGAGATTTATAAGCAATGTGAAGATGTGGAGTGGTGACCCAGCCTTCTTTTCTTATATGTATTGTGTAAACACTTGAGTGGGCTTAGAAAAATGTTAGTCAAATCAAGGCAAGGCTCTATAACTCTGGATAGTATTTATTTATTTATTTATTTATTTATTTATTTATTTATTTATCTATTTATCTATCTATTTATTTATTTATTTTTAGAGCAGCAGCATTGGGTATGACTCCATGATATTGGAGTCAAACTGTCTCCTGCGTTCAAAACTTGATTTCACTGCTCACTAGCTGCGTGATCAATGACAAGTTCCTCGGCCTTTCAATTTCCCAGGTTCCTGCAAAGTAGAAATAATGTTTCCACTGCATTATAATGGTTAAATGAGATGCAGAAGTAAATTATCCAGGAGAGTGACTGACAGGAGGTACTTAATAAACTTCCCATTGGAAAATGGGATGGAGAGCTTCGGTTCCATGAAGTGAGCATCAGAACACCCTAAAATTCCTATTCCCCAAAGAATTTTTAAAGGACAGAATGGCAAGGAAAGAAATGGTGTAAAAAGTTTATAAATAGAGGATTGGATGTGAAATAAGATCTGGAGAAAATGGCAGAAAAGAAGTAAGAAATTGCTGGGTGTGCTGGATGCTTGGAGAGATACGTGAGAAACGTGGGGAGGCAGGTGACCAAGGAGCACCTTGGATCTCCTTTAGTTTCTATTTTGAGAGGGGAGCTCTGGATGGCAAGGGTGCCAGAACGGGGGAGCTGCGGGCCTATAGGGTCTGGGGACAGAGAAGAGGACAAGTAGAAGGCTGAAAATGGAGAAAGAAACTCTTATGCATTTTTTATTTAGCTTCAGGCAAAAAGCCAATATACACAAGAATAACTTCAGATTTTCCTTTCCCATTTTCCTCACTAGTCATTCTTGTTGTCTGGAAAAGAAACCCAGTGTAGGATCCAGCATGGAACTTGGCAGGGGCGGGAAGAGATGTCTGTGATTTGTACAATTGTGCGTTTATATGCAGGGCTTTTATTTAGCTTTGTGCTCCAGGAGTGCATGATTACTGGTGATCATGGCTGGCATCCGTTCTGGTTGGCTGGTACATTTTGGGCTGGTTTTAAAATATTTTGATTTTCGATAGAGGTGTGAGGGTATGTATGTATTTAATATATTTCCAAAAGATTTTAGGGTATAGTATTATTAACCTGGTAAAATTAGTGGGTAAATTTAACCAGTTAGCTTACTATTATTGGTTTTATTTTAAAGTCCTCTTCATGAGGTAGTTTATACAAATCTTACTCTTTCCTTGAGGAATTGGCGCATTCTGGGAGGAGGGTCATAGAGTCCTTTCTTCCCCATCTTTTCATGGCCGAGACCTTCCTGGCTCCCTTTCACCCTTACTCACTTTGGCTGCTCATCGTTCCCATTGCCAGAAGCACTGAGAGTCCCTATTTTTCATTATTTTCCAGTTCCCAAGCCCACTGCCCCTGGACTAGATGGCCACCTCCCACCCTCTAAGTTTCCCCATTCTTCTCTGAGGTTTTCTTTTGAAAATGTAGGATTTATATCAAAGCTCTTTAAACTTGACCCTTCATGAACTAGAATAAAAACAACAACAGAAAAAAGAAAACCAGTGCTCATTAGCAGCTAAAGCCCTTGAGCCAGCAGACTTCTGAAACAGGGAGAGACAGGCTGAGTTTCAGTGGCTCAAAAGCCCTGTGAAATAATAATTGGATGTTACTCTGCTATTATTATTTATCAAAATGTATTTAGTTTTGATGGCTGCCATTGAGGTTTGCATTTTCTGCAGATGAAAGGCAGCAAGGAGGGAGCAATATTCTCACAGTTCCAGAGTATTAGGCTGTCACACCACATCACTTATGTCAGTTTGCACCCATAAAAGAGATGCAGTGTAATCAGTCAGTAATGTCACCAGAACAAGAAGCATATAAAAATGATTCAAATGGGTAATTTACAAATTGCAATTTGAAAATGTTTAACAAATTTTCTTCATATGCTCTGGAATGTTTAGAGAGGAGGAAAAATAATTGGTTTCCACATAGACCAAACACATCTGGGAAATTAGGAGATTACTCAGCAAAACAAAAGTGGGTGAAATTCATCAATAAGTCATTACTGAATTAATGGATAAGTTAAAGAATGGATGAACAATTTGGGAAAACAAAGAGTTCAGTTTAACTCCATAAACTTATCTTGAATGATGGTAACCTCTAGTTACTGGGAATATGGTCCCTAACCAATAGGAAGACAGAGATGAAAAAAAAATCAACATAGGGTAGTAAATTCAATGATGAAGCTACCCATAGAGAGAGTACCGAAGAGGAGTAATTTCCCCAGCCTGAGAGAGCAGGACAGGGACAAGGACTGAGGTTAAAGAGTCTTCCTGAAGGAGTAATGCCTTCAACCGAATCTTCAAAGTTGAATCAGAGTTAACCAAATGAGACAGGGAGCCAAGAGTATTTCAGACGGAAGGAATCACATAAACAAAGGGATGAAGATTTGCAGCTGTGTGGTGACAGTCAGGAACTACAAGCATTTTTATATTACTGGATGAGTGTGGGACGGGGTAATGGGGCAGATGAGTTTGGAGAGGTAGCAGGTCATAGAACGTTTTTGGTAAGTCATACAAAAGAGCTTGGCCTTTACCCTGTAGTTAATGGGAAGCTGTTAGAAGGTGACATGAGCAGAATTTAGTTTCAGAGTGATCACTCTGGCTGCAGTGTGAAGATTAGATTAGAAATAGAACAAGGCTTAAATCAGAAAGAATTAGGAGATTGTTACTGCAATGTTGGCAAAGGAGGCTGAGGACTGGATCTAGGATGGAGGTGGATAGATGGGGAGGAAAGAATGTGTGGAGAAATATCTAGGAGACAAAAGGTCAGGATTTGGAGATTGATAGAATATAGGGGATGATGAGGAAGTTAGAAAAAGGATGCACTTTCAACTTAGGCCCAAGTACTTGGCTTGGATGACTGGGGAAATGGTAGAAAATGTTAAAGTAGGAAGGCTTATTTCCCTACTCTTCAGGGTTTCAAAGAGGGTATTTTTGTGCCCTGGCTAAGAAGGGAGAGGCTGACTGTGCATTTATAACTTCTCTCCCCAAGAAACATGGTGTCCTGAGTATAGTGGAGTGACTAATCTGATTGATGAGATGGGCCAGCCTCTGACAGTCAGGGGCCAGGTCTATCTTTTGGGTGAGTTTGAAGGTCACACTGCTCAAGTATAGTACAATTTGTTTTCATCCTTTTGTACTTGCCTTTGTTCAGGCCTGGTGTGCCTTGGCCTTCCGATATACAGGTGGTAAGCCCCAGTGGGGGAAGGGAGTGTCCACAGCCTGAGACTAAGTGGATTAGTGAGGTTGACCCTCCCATCCCAAGTTGTCTTCAGTGATACCGGGAAGGAGTACATATGATGCTGTGTTTTTGGCCTGAGGCCCAAACATCATCCTTCCTATGAAAAAGCCTTGTACTTTGAGAGTTACTGTGCTAGTACTAACAGAGCTGATATTTCATATCAGTTTGGCTTTTTGTATCTATTCTCTGTGAATCTACTTAAAAGAAGGTGGTCGTAGGGGAGAAATAAGGGAATGAAGGCCAGTGTAGTTCACTAAAAGTAAAGATCTCAGGAGAAAGAATGAGTCCGGGGCATGACTACAAATTTAGTTTCAAATATGCGGATGTCCAATAATAAGTATAAAGCAGAACATTGGATTTATACGTTTGAAGCAGGCCCAGTTGTGGTGTGGGCTGGCAAGGCAGCATGTTTAAGCTCTGATGGGGTAGTCTTGGTTTTAGGGTTTCTGGTGAGCCGTGAATCAATATGGCGGAAACAAATCAACATTTACACATGTTGACAATAACAAACAGTAGATATGTACAGTCTTTACATATACAAGGAATGTTCTGCCCAAATCCTTTTTGGAGCACGTGAGTTATTGATATATATCTACAAGGCAAATCTAGGTATACAAAATATTTTGCAAAAAAAAGATTTTTAATTGTCAAATAAAGCTTCATTTTTACCCTAAGTAATAGTCAACACCATGCAATTTTATTTCAAGCTCCATATTTGGATAGTTTCTTAAACTTTGGTATTAGACCTATAGTTCATAAGCAAATTATTTATGAGGCCATGTAGATACAAACATGGCTATAAAAGTAAAATGTACAAGAAAGGTTTTTCTCTTTGCCCTCTATCCAGTTATATCCCTTGATATTTAGCCTGCAGGGAGAAAAGTATTCAGGTTAAGGTAGAG